CGATTATGATTGGAAGAGTATGCAAAAAATGTGCTTGTGAAATTAAATTAAACTTTGGAGGAATTCATAGTGAATAAACAAAAAAAAACAAAGAGCAAAAAATACGACAAAAATCTGTTATGAAACGGCGTTAAAAATTCCAACGCAGCCACATCAATTTCAGTGAACAACGGAAAACTTACAACAACAATATGTGCGGCAAAATAGGACCACCACTGCCACCTACCCTTTCTTATCCCTTTCCCAACCTTCAATACTACCAGAGCAACATCAATTTTTGCCAAGGAAAGCGAATAGACAACTGCCGCACATTAAAAGTGAAGCTTACCGAGCCGTTACAGGCCCAAGCTGCGCCTTATAATTACTGCCAACGAAAATGTCTACCCACCAGCGTCAACAACAAACAGCTGCTCCACGTGTAAACGATACGCAAAACAACCTTACTGAGTCGGAGGACAAAGATGAAAATGGCGATGGCTATGATGAAACTGGCCATGGCATAAACGAATTGGTCAGGCAAAGCACAGGCACAGCAAGCGCTGACGTTAACCAAACTAAAATAAGCCAGCGAAGGAAAACAAAAATTTCTGACAAGCCACAGACGAGTGGCCAACACAAAGTAAAGGATAACAATAACTGCCAAGCGGCAAAGCAAAATAAAATTTCAAGTGAGTGTTCGAGGCACGAGGCCAGCCAAAATGTTAACGCTACCCCACCTTCGCTTGGTGTGAATTTAAAAACATCAATTTACGACTGGGACTCACCCAGCTCATTTACCGGTACAGTGAAGAGGCGGTCCGGTCGCCGGCCACACTCGTTGGCAGCAACAACTGCAAGCGTTGAACGTGGTTTGGGGCATGCGAATGTGAAACAGAATGCAGCTTCCGAGAGCTCAGCGCTGTCAGTGAAAGCTTTAACCCCCACCAAAGATGGCACCACTACCAACCATAACTACAAATTTTTTTGTAATAACAAACGCAACCACTATGCAATTAGTGCCAACAACGCAAACACAGTGGATGGCAGCAAGTTAAAGCGGCGGACGACTAACGACGAAATAACTTTTGCAGGGACCGTCAAACCTGCCAGCAACATGCCAAAGTCTCATCGGCTGGGTAAGGATAAGTCATCGAAGCTGCGGCACAGCAAATCGCTGGCGTCAGCGGATCGAAATGCTAATAATGCCGCTGCAACAAGCTCCCCACCACCGTCACCAAACAGTGACTTGGCGGCCGCTCATAGTTTCCTAAGTGTTTCGCAACATTCCCAGTCTAGCGCGCCTGGCACTAGATCGAAGTCTTCCGATGCCACGTCATTGCCTGCCTCGTACAACCGCAATCTTTGCAATGCCTCCTTCTCCAGCGCGAACCAACTACACGACGAGCCGAATGCCATACGCGATGCTAATTATATGGAATTGAGCTTTTGTGATGGCCGGTACACCGGCGATGAGTCAACGCAGTTTACCGAGCTCTTTCGTGATTTCCCCGTCAGTTATGAATCCACGACGGTCGTCACGAATTCACAGTTTGCAAAGTGTGGTCTTTCGGCGCAAGCGTCACCACGTTCGACGCCTCCCTATCGCGAGCCACCACCGCCAACACCACCACCGATCTCACAGATGCCAACGCGCGACTCGCGCTTCCTCGCCATGCAATCAACCGCCGAGCCATGTGCTTCCCTATCCGCGCCAGCGACACCCTCACGCGGCAAGGTCGTGCTCAGTAAGAAGGAGCGCAAGGAGTTGAGCAAACTGAATGCGCGTCTAGGCGTGTATGATGGTAGCGAGCATGCTGGTGGAAGCGCGAGCGCTCAGTCTAGTCCCTACAAGGGACGTGTATCTGAGTTGAAGAACTGCTTGGCGCGGGGTCTATTTGCTTCGCTAAGTCGTGGTTCGCAGAAGTCACTTACCGCGAATAGCGCGGCACAAGAGGAAGCCACATCATCGTCGAATGAGGTCTCACCGCCGCCACCAGCGCCAGCGGACGCTAGTCCTCCAAACTCGAATGCATCCAACAATAATGATGCAGACTATAGTGAGAAGCTAAAGAATTTGCCAGTGCGTCAGCGTAAGACGCACGTCTCGCACATGGATAACTATTGCCTCTTCGATCCTGTTGATTTCATAAATGAAAAGGCGCTACGGCAACGCACACATGAGCATTTAAGCCGGATGTTTGAAACGACCACGACACACGGTCTACGTGATCCGCTCTTCAGTTCGCGCCAGAACTTAGACTTTAGCGAAGAGGAATCTGTGCCCGAAGTCATCTACAATGAGGATGAGCTGCCACCGGAGGACGACTCTACGCTAGTGGTTGAGGTGACATTCGAGGAAGCTTGCGGTGGCGCAACGAGATCAGCTAATTTCGATCATCACAATTATTTTGTCATTGATCCAGATGACTTTGAAGAGGAACCCATACCTGATATCGGCATACCGAATCCAAATACCAATGAACAACTGGTGCACGCCAACCTCGAAGCATTGGCTGAGCAAACCACTGCCAAAGCAGACGAGCCCATACTACGTGAGTCCGCCAGCTTTGAAAAGTTGCTCGAAGTGCTGGATGCGGCGCCGAGCATGTCGAATAGTCAAGAGTCCAAAGATACAAACACCACCGCTTCCACGACCACAACAACATCCACCGCGCTTGTGGAGTCATCCACCTCCACGAACTCAGCGAGTTCATCCACCTCAGCGACGTCCTCGCAAACGACGCTACAGCGCACGAAAAAGAGGTTAACCTTCCTGAATCTCTCACCTTTTCGGTCGAAACAGCAAATGAGTGGCAGCGCCGTGGCCGGGAATGATAAACGAGCTAAGCGTAATGGCGACAATAAAACGAATGATGCGTCTGCGTGTGACGCTAGTGCCGTAGAGGACACAACGAGTAACGAGCAGCGTGCTGTCTCTGTGCTAGTCAGCTCGGAGCATATGCTTCACCTGCAGCATATGCTGCTGGACGAGAAGGAGCACTTACGCGCGCGTACCGTGCCAATCGAATCGAATTATGTACTCTTCAATCCGGGTCCGGTGCCGAGTCGTAATGTACCGTACAAAATTCGTAAGCCGCGACCGTTGTCCTCACACAGCGATGCAGATAGTGGTTTCCTGAGTCCATGCTCGCCCGATGAGCTGTCCGCGCTGAAGTTCAACTCGGCGATTTTGGTGCTGCAGCAGTGTGACAGCGTGCAGGGATACATTGAGGTGAGTGGTGTACAGTAAGTCATTTAGTACTTGAAGAAAACTAAAAAAAATAAGAAATTTTTGTGGACTTTCTCATATCAAATAAAATTTTTTTGTCTTAGGGTTGTAATAACCGCACTGTGAGACAGTAAATTTTACACACAAGAAAATCAATATAAATACTCGCAAAATAAGAGTCCAATTATAGTATAACTGCATTCTTAGAGAAAATTCTGTAGAATTTAAAAAGTCTAAATTTTTTTGTGCGTAAGTGGAAAACGTGGTGAAATTGTCCTTTAAAATTTTATCCTTGAATATCCTTGAATATTTTGTAATATTGATTTTTGAAAAAATTATGTATTCAAGACTAATATACACATCACCACACCCTCGAATTCCGTCCTTGTAATTTTATTAAGTTAAAAAATAATAATAATAATAATTAAAATGCTATGTTTAATCCCTGTTCCTGGTAAACCAAAAAAAATTTTTTTTTTTAATTAAAATTTTTTTTCTTTCACTTGGTACCCCTATTGTTATTCTACATTGCACTGAATTCTTTAAATAGTTTTTTGAAGTAATCATATCTTTGAAATCTCAAGGCCCTATAAAAAAGTTTCTACATCAGAGTGAAAAAAGCAGTTTTACTACATTAGGCCTCTAATTTCGTGAGTAAACAGGGAGACTTTAGCGTTATGCTGTTCGCCTTTTAGGAATACGTTTTTTTTTTAATTATATCTTTTAAATTAAAAATATATATTTCTTCAGTAAAAGCTATTACATAAATAAAAGCAAATTAAATTTAAAAAAAATGTATAAAAAGCAAATACAAATAAAAAATAATTTTTAAAATTATATGAAATTAAATAAATATATTTTTTTCTTTTTAAAACAATAAAATCTAAAAATTAAATTGGAAAAAGAAAAAAGTTAAATCAAAAAACGACGAAAATAATTTTATATATGTAATAGCTTTTAAAAAAAAAAAAAATATTTTTATTTTAAAAACATAATCTAAAAATTAAAAAAAATACTAAAAAAGAAGGAAATAATAAATGAAAACGAGGTGGCAATAAATAAAATAACTTTCTAAAAATTAAATTACAATAAAAAATATTTTCCTTTATTAAAGAATCAAATCTAAAATCGAAAAGAAAATTTAACTAAAAGAAGAAAAAGAATTTATTCAAAAAAGAATAAATCAAATAAATTCCTAAAAATTTAATTACATTCAAAAAATATTCCTCTTTTCAAAAGAGTAACATCTAAAAATTAAAAGAACATTAAATGAAAGATAGACAAAATTAAAAAAGAAATAAAAATACATAAAATAAGTTTCAAAAAATTAAATGAAAATTTGAAATACATATATAGTTTTTGTTTTTAAACTAATCAAATTTAAAAGTTAAAAAAAGAAAAAAAAAATTATATTAAATTTATATAAACTCGCTGCCCGAGAATCGAACTGCGCCCTGTAAAGTTTCTCTTGCCACAAATTTTAGTACTTAAAGAAAATTTGAAAATTTTTGGAACTCCTTTTGATTACAACGCTAAGATTAAGCAGCTTACTTGCCTACAAAAGCTCATTTTTCAAAATAGTTAATTATCTAACACCACATCTCACTCGTTTGAATGGCTTCACCAACTGTCGCACTCATTTTGAACACGCAATGCAAATCCCTTTGCGGTTCAAAGTCCCTTAATACAACATTCATAATAAAGAATTATATATATTTTGTACTTTTGCTGATAATCTGATGGTAAATAGCGATTTACAGCGTTTATGAGCAGCGACACCATAGAAGCACCGGGCAATAAGCCGCTTAGCAGAAATTATGATTAGATAAAATACTTTAGCGCCCTTTCACATGCACGCATGAGCGTCTTAAATTCAGCTCAACAGCAAAGTCGCAACAGTCTTAACACATTTAAATCGTTTCTTCTAGCAATGGATTACACACACTTTCTTAAGCCAACCCTCTGCAAAGTCGTTACCCCGATGCTGCTGCTGCTGCTGGTGCTGCTTGAGGGCTCATTTCCGTTACTTATCAGCAACACCCATGAAAATGCATTTTCCGTAGCGTCCTGCAGTCAGTGGAGGGAGGAAGATGAAGTAATTGCGGAAGTAGTACATGCTGCGAAACGAAGGAAATCATTCGGTTATCTACCCTCAAAAAATTGTTGGATTTGGTTGCGAAATTGCAATAATTTCATGTTTGGTTAGTGAAGCTTGCTGGTGTGTGCGGGCGATGAAGCGGCGGGTTAAATGTGCGCAATTACCAAGGGAGCCCTACATATAGCTTGGGTGGGAGCGCACGCACATTCACATGCACACTCTCGCATATTTTCAAAATTACAAATGGCATTCGTGTCCTGCGAAAGCACTTCCTTTTACTCTTCCTGCTCTTGTGCGGCGTTGCTATGTTGTTGTGTGAAGTGCAACACTTGATTTCTTGCCATTTGCCACTTGCAGAGCGCCACTCTTCATACAAATACATACTCAAAAGGGTAGTGATGATTGCATCATTCAAGAGCTGTCGCACGCATCCACCCTCACCGTGCTTACTTTCGTACTTCTTCATATGCATTGTAAAAACTCTAATCGTCGCGTTGCGTTGCTGCAAGTGACACCGCCATTAACGCGTCGCTGTGAGAGCATGCAATTTTTAGATTTCCCTTTCTTCGCTGAACGCACTCGTCGGCCTGTAACGACCCTTGGGAGCAATCAATCGTTGCCTCGTCCGCCGTCGACGTTCTTGCCATTTCCTTGATTCATTTCGGCATGCAGCAACAAATTTTCGTTTCCTCAACCAAATTGCTTTAGTGCCTTCTCTCTCTGCTCTAATATCGCCTAAGAGGTGTGTGCAGGTGGGGTCGACATACGGTGGTGGGGCCGACTATCTGGAAATATAGGTATACATTATTTTTTAGTTTGGCACAAGTGCAGTAAATGGCAACTGTAAAGAATTTTCGGATGTATTAATCCCAATACATACCAGTGACACATGTAGAGCATGGTTCAAAAAAAAATTTATTAAAAACTAAAAAAGAAAATTTTCTGATTAAAAATGCAGTTAAAAATGTATGTACGTATCCTGTTACACAAGAAAAAAATTTGTAAATTCTAAAAATATGGGCTATTTGATTTTGAATTTAATTTCACAATATATATAATGTATAAATAATAACTTTTTTCAAAAATTTTTATTCTTCGCTTATCTAATCTTAATTGCTATCAAAAAAGTGAACTTGAATGCAATCCCATCAGAGTTTAATTTCATTAAAGAAACTGGCGAATTTATGTGACATCGCCTATAGAGCCTCATTGAGCATAATACATGTTTTACAAAGAAGTATCTTCCAACTCCTTAAGGGCATATTTTTAACAAAATTATGTTAAATCCAAAAATAGTCCGCAGTAGCCCCGAAAAAGCTTCGTCTGTTTCGATTTTCGCATTAAGTGCAGTGGATGATTCGAAAAAAGCATGAATAATGCTGGTTCTCTTGGGAGCCACATTTATAGAAATCGAGACAGAACTTTTCCGAGGCCGAAAAGGAAGTGAAGCGTCGTGAAAAGGTCAATTGCGGTAATAAATAACAGGGTAACTCCGGCTAAGATAGTAAAAAGGCACCAAAGTCTTGGGGGAAAATGTTAATATTTTTTTTAAACTGATTTTATGTATTTCTTCTTTCTTTATTTAATTTTCCCTAGATTTTTAGATCTTTTTGTATAAAAAAGGATATATTTATTAATTTAATTAATTTTTTTTGGAACTGGCTGCCGGTCTCACGAAAGCAATTTAAGTGAAAATTTTTTTTCAGTTTCCTTATTAAATTCAAATAAAATTATAATTTTTCACATAAATTTGTTTCATGATACTGGCTATGTTTGTAGTTTTTTCTTCTTCCAATTAAATTTTGATTTTTTTTATAGTTAAGTTTTCTGTTAATTTTAAAATTTTGTTGTTTAAAAAGATTTTTTTTTAACTCATTTAGTTTTTAAAACCTTTACTTATGTTTATTTTATTTAGTTTTTCTTTTTTTAATTGTTTGATGTTTTATTTCATTTTGTTTTTGAACATTATTTATAAAATTAATTTTTTTTAATAAAAATATTTTTTTTTTGTTAATTTTATTTAAATTTTAAGCAGTTTTTTCTTCTTTTTTGATTTAATTTTTTCTTTTTCTAATTTAGTATTTAGAATTTATTGTTTTGGAAAGAAAAAAAATAGTTTCTTTTATTTCATTTAATTTTTAAAAATACTTTTTTAATTTTTGCTTTATTCATTTTATTAATTTTTTAATTTAATTTTTTTTTATTTATTAGCTTTTGTTATAAAGATATATTTTTAGAATTTAATCTAATTTTTGAAAAAAAAAAAATTGTTAAAAGACGAACAGCATAACGCTAAGACCTTCTAGTTAGCAAATATTTCGATTAGTCCTTCGAAAGACTGTAAATAGCTTTCAAGATAGTTGCCAGAATTGACAATTACCTTACGAAAGACTCCTCGGTTAGAATGATGTGCCTCCTTCTGGCCCTCATAGGGGGCATACGCAATGGACAAATCTTCCTCCGAGTGGAAGTATGTGTCGTTCGTATGCGCCTTCCTAACCTAACCTAACCTTAGCCTCCAGCCGTGTTACTTGTCTAAGAACAGACCAGATGTGATGTGACCTAAGGATCAGCTGTTAAATTTCCGCAACTAGTTATTCCGATGCTCGCAGTTTATTTCCAGTGTCAGTGGAAAATTTGCGAAGGCAAACTCTTACAGCATAGAGCGAAATGTTTACGAACGTCAGTGAAATCCTTCAAACCAAATCTATTTTATGGCTCATTAATTTCGCTATTCAATAAGCGATTCTACTTTAAAATAACCACTAGCACAGCGTACAATCTTACCTCTCAGTACTTAATATGCTGGGCGAACGTTTGTAGAAGCTGATGGTACTGATTCCCGTAGGAGGTTTGGAATCAATTAGAGTTAGACTTTCCGCTTCCTTTATAGCAATAAAAAAAG